GAAGAAAACTTCAGGCTGGCAGTGGGGACCAGGGTGCCCGGACCCCGGCCACCGGCTGCAGAAGCAGGTAGGGGGTCAGACCTGGGCTCTGGGCGCCTGTGGGCCTTCATCCCCGCAGCTAGAGGGAGCGCCCACGGAACGACGGGAACAGATCCGCGTTTTATCTTGTTTTATTTTAGGTTTATTTATTTTGAGAGAGAGCGCGCGCATGGGGGGCACAGAGAGAGGGAGAGGGTCCCAAGTCGCCCCCCATTGTGAGCGCAGAGCCTGACTCCGATCTCACTCCCTGAGATCGTGACCTGCGCCGAGATCAAAAGTCGGATGCCTCCCCGACTGAGCCCCCCGGGCGCCCCTCACCACCGCCTGTGTCCTTGGTCTTCAGCCCGAAGCTGGCAGGACCGCGCGCTTTCCAGCGAGTTCGGGGAAGCCTGGCCCGTCGGAGACGCGTGCGGGCAGGACGCCCCCTGCCGGCGGCTCACGGGAGCGCCCCCCTGCCGGAAGAGGCTTCTGTGGCGCCGGCTCCTGGTCCTCCGTCCCGGTGGGCTGGGGGGCTTCCCGCTGGGGGCGGGGGCACCCCGGCGCCGGGGGATGCGGCAGCCCGAGCCCCAGGTTTCATCGGAGCTCCACGCCCCCAGAGGAGCCCTCAGCGCCGGGGCAAGCTGGGGCGGGGGGCGCCGGGGCGAGGGGCCGGCGCACCTGTCCGGCATTTTATCCGGGTGGGACTTGTTGGCACCTCGGGCAGGGGTCTCAGCACCGGGGCACTGAGGCTGGTTACATGTCACTTCCAGCCAGAGTCCGTGTGCCACGAAAGGCAGGACTGCCCCACCAGGCTGCAGGAGACCCTCCACGCCCCGCACCTTCCGAGGGAACCGCCCCCCAGCCCCCAGCCAGCGCCTCCCACTGCCGCCAGGGGGGCCTGACCGTCACCCGACAGCGCCCTTTCTAAAGGCTCTGCCCCATTAGGCCAGGGCACTTTCTGTTTGCACAAAAGTTAGGAAGCAAAGAAAATTCATTAAAAATTGTTTTAATGTTTATTTTTGAGAGAGAGAGAGACAGAGAGAGAACAAGCGGGGAAGGTCAGAGAGAGAGGGAGACACAGAATGCGAAGCAGCCTCCCAGCTGTCAGCTCAGAGCCCGAGGTGGGGCTCGAACCCACACGTCAGAGCATGACCTGACGCCTGTCGGACTGAGCCCTGCAGGCGCCCCAGAGAATGTCCATTTTTGTACTGGAAGCCATATAGGAAGGCAGGCTCTGCGGTTTTGATTTTTTTTTTTTT